AAATTATACATACATAAACATAAATTTAAAAAAAAAACGTTGAAATTTATAATTTGTATATTACATTATATTTTGTCTTATTTATATTGTATTGCTTTATATTATATTAGTTTATAAAACAAGTCCCTGATTTTATCATTATTCTGTGTTTTTTTATCAACTTAATCAATACTATAATAAAACAGGACCAGGAGTTTGAGGATGGACGTATGAATGATATACCTTTTCCTTGTGGTAAATTTGCTTCTTCTTTGAGAAAACAATTATTCCGCGAACATCTAGGAGTATTGAATACGAAAGAAAACATCGAAATCGATGACATCGTTATAAGATCATTTTACAAGGATATGTGGTGCGCTAGAAGCAAACAAAATACGGAGATATATGAAGAAGTATTTCACTGTATTCCCACCGATAAAGTAGTCAATTTCGCTATATTGAAACAATATCAAGAAAAAGTATCTCTCTCTATATCTGATCCATTATTAGCGCAAGAAATGGTGGAGAATATAAAGGTAAATATCAAGCATTTTAAATGCTTGTGTGTGTGTGTGTGTGTGTGTGTGTGTGCCTAAATTTATTGTTTAATCGCATCAAACATGTATTTTTTTCAGGGACACTTGGTCGATTTGCCACTAAATTTCTTATGCAATGAAGATTTAAAACCTGCTGCTGGAACAGTAGAAGGAATGATGCCAACTGCGTTGTGGATATAAGTTCTGACGAATAAATGTTTTTGAAAATTTATTGCAATTCTCGGCGCAAATTAATAATAAAAATTTCTAATAATTTGTTTTACAACGCAAACAGAGTATGTAAAAGGTGATTTTAATGTTTTAATTCTATATTAAACGGCTTTTATATTATGATGATCAAAAAAATGGCTAAGTGGATCTTTTTATCACTATGATGTATATCGTATAGATATTCAAATTTCTGTTTATTTGTATATTTAATATTGCCTCTTATAATAAGGCTGATCGGATTTTCATCGACATGCGATTTAAGTTAATCTATTTTAAATTAGTCTAATTTAAAATATAAGTACATTTACTTTAGATTAATAATACTTAACAATACTTAATACCTCAATTAACGTTTTTCTTAAAAATAAAGAGTATTATAGTATAACGAAGATTAATTATATATTATTTTTATTTGAACTTAACTTTTTAAAAATAAGTAAATAAGTTATAACTATTTGTTGTTCTTCAAATATAGTTTATTTTGTTTAAATGTAATAGGCATTATTACTTAATAAGTATTGCATCTCTAAAGTTCAATATATTTAATTATCTAACAAAATATAATTAAAACTTGTTATTGGTTATATAACTAATGATTCAAAATCTTTTTATATAATTATAAGTAAATAAAATCTATTTAAAAAATTATATTTCTAAAGAAGATGCAAATACTTCGGGTAATACTAAAATCTTCTATATAAAATCTTTACATATTTAATTATCTACAATTTAAGATTTAATGTGTACCTGTATTTTTCAACGGAGAAAGGATCTTCATAAAAAATTGAAAACAGCTCACAATAATTGAATATTGCAGTAGAAGATAATTGTATTTTATGTAACAGGAGATCTTAGTGTAAACATGTTGTAGAAAGTTATTAATATAAACTAGATTACATTCCATCTGTTTGATGCAGCTAATATTTAATATACAATACAAAAGTGTAATTTGAGATTAATGAGAGATAAAATGAGACATTATGTATAACAAGTATGTTAACTTATTATAATTACGAATTGTGCCTGTTTTATTAGATTAAAATTTTATTTAAAAATGTTTTTAGAATGCCATCAATATAACAAAACGGTATAATAATAATAGTAGTAATAATAATCACGATAAAAGTTTTATTGATTTAATAAATAAAGCATAACAAAATGTGCAGTCAAATGCATTAATCGATTCATTGCAAATACACAGATGAGTTTTGAGAAATATATATAAACAAGAAAAAAAATAAAATTATTAATTCTTTATATATAATATACAAAATTGCATTTTATAGTACATGTAACTTCGAATTTTTTTGTATTGAATTTAATACATTAACTATTTTGAATTGTCAATATTAAGATAAAACATATATGAGTTTGGAAATTTTAAAAAGAACAATAGCACAAATAATGTATAAGTTATTTATACATTTCAGGTAAAAAAATTTTTCATATAAAAATATATAT